TTTCCATTTACGGTCACTGTCTCCTGTCCTCCTGCCTCACACCACTGTGGAGAGCTCGGCTCCATATCATGATCTTCCTGTAGGTACTGGCAGGCTGGTATTTGGTCTCCCTGAAGCTGTCCCTTCTGGCTGAACATGCCCCATTCCCTCAGTCTCTCTTCACAGGGCATGTGCTCCAGTTCCCTCACCACCCTGGAGCTCATCCAACACACTCCACTGTCATTTCTTGCATTGGGAGTGACTCTGCACATATGGCCTAATGACTGCTGCAGGAAAGGGGACAATAATTCCCCTCGATCAACTAGCCATGCTTCTGTTCATACAGCCCAGGATTCTGTTGGCCACCTTTGCTGCCAGGACACGCTGCTGGTTCGTGTTCAGCTGCTGTCTACCAAGCCCCTATCAGCAGGGCGGCTCCCCTGCCAGTCACTGCCCAGCCCACGGTGTTGCCAAAGGTTCTTCCTTTCCAGGTACAGGACTTGGCACTTGGCTTTGAATTTCAGTGAATCTGAATTTCACTAGGTTCCCACTGTCTCTTTCCCCCAGCCTATTTAGACACCTCTGGATGGGAGTCCTGACCTAGAACTTGTGCCAAGTCCTGCCAGCTGGCTGCAATCTGCAAATGTGATGAGCAAGCAGAACTTCATCTCCTCTAGGTTATTGATAAAGATGTTAAACAGGACAGGTCCCAGGACAGACCCTTGTGGTACTCCACTGACCTTGAGATTTGACTATGACTTTCTAAGCCCAATCACCCAACCACTTTTTACCCATCTGACTGTCCACCCATCCAGACTGTGACATCCTTGCACGCTGTGAAATTTCCTGGATGTGTATTCAGAGGGCAGGAGCTACCCCACAGCACGTGTCCCTTTGCACACTTTTACTTCATAACAGTAACCACGGAGTAACACATGCACTGCATGTTCACAGGAAGGCTGGACTCACAGTACTGTGGAGTCAAACTAATTTGGATAGGCTGGTGATAAGCTTGTAAACTCTTTAGTGAAGTTTTAATGATTCAGGTCATGAAAATCCTGGCTGAGGGGATCTTTAGTCTGACAGGAACGTTTTACAAAGCTTGTTGGCTGGGAATGGAAATTCAAATAAAATTTAGACAAGAAATAAAATATAGCTTTACAAGAGTGAAGCAATTAGGCCTGGAAAAAGCTTAGTGATGGACTGATGGATTCTCAGTCATTTGCAGCCCTTAAACCAAGGTATTTTTGTCTTCATAAATATATACTGTGACCCAGTCATGTGTTACACACATGATGCAGGAACTCTTACATGGAAATCTAAGCTAGATGTTCATTAAGGTACCTTCTAGCCTTAAAATGATCTATTAGTATTTACACTAACAGTTAACACTGTAGGAAATCCTGCTCAGTTTCTAATATGTTGTGTTTATTTTCAAAACAAATGAAAGAATAACATTTTCATAGACTTCTTGAGATTCCATTGACCTATAATTGACTTTCCTTCCTTTCCATCTTTCTTTCCTTTCCATCATTCTCAGCTACCTACCACTAGGGACAGGAGTACTTATCTTCCATGTTTTGTTTTAAATAGCTGTAGATATCGCTGCATTTGAAAAGCCACATCAGAATACTAAGAATACACAGAAATGCTTTTTCTCTTTACCAGACTCATGGATCCTACCATCTCGAGTTCTCACTGGGGTCTGTATAGTTTCACACAATCAGGTAAGAGAATCCATTTGACTAAATGGATCATTCAGTTAGGAAAGAGCCCTCGATAATTCACTGTGAAGAGCAGTTTAACAGGTTGCACAGACACAGCCTTTCCATCTTAAATTCCTACAGTTCTAGCATTGAGTGGAGGCTGAACAATTCTGCTTAAAAGTGGCATGCTAACCTAATACAGACTCAAGGCTGATCTACTTTTTAGCTATATTGTCCTGGAGAAATTTTGTTTCTTATTCAGAGTCAAATTTTCATAAGAAATGAACATTCATTTTCTGCATCTTAAAAAAAAAAAAAGGCTTGGTATCCTGTACCACAGGCTTTCACTGAAATTTGGCTATAAACAAATATTTTGGAAGTATTTTGCTCCCAGATAACAAACAGAGATTGCTGCAGAGATTGGGATTACAAAGACTCTTGAAAAAAAATTTAAAAATCATTACCTTTCAAGCACTTGTCCAAAACAATACAAATGACAAGGCTAAGGACACACTGAATGACAACAAACCAGGTTATCAGGCAACAGAAAGTAAGGCCTGCCAGCTCTGCTAGTTTTATTATTCAAGTTTATGCAGTTCATGTGCTTGTCCTTCCAAGTTCCAAACAGGTCAATGCATGCTTTACTTAAATGGTGACAAAAAAAGGAACCAACAGCCAGAAACCAAACTTTTTTTCACTCTTGTCTTTTCCTTGCTCCCCTCTAACAATCTGTGGAGTATTTAGGTTTTACCTAAATACAACAGGGCACTGAATTTGAGTGAGCTGACAGAGAGAGTACCGAATGGTTTAGCTAGCACTGTGGTCTCCCTAGCTGGGCTTCTCAAAGCTACTACTTGTTGTCATTAATGTGTCTGCACTCTACCATCTAATGTGACGTGTCTTTCCAGAGCACAGTCACACATGCACACAGACGCTCCTGCCCACCAGCTACTCACCCAGGGGAAGCTTTTCCAGCAGATAAAGGTAACTCTGAAAGAAGTCATTTCGGATCGCCATGTGCAAGACAAAGGACATGCTGTGCCGACAGAGTTCTTCATCTGTCTTGTCCCAGCGCGACTTAAAGGCCATATGTGCTGCTTTATATGCCATGATGAAGATGTTTTTTGCAAGGCTGGAGAGTTGCTGTGGCTGGGGCTCTCTGGAGGACCTGTCCTTCCGAAGAGGCAGAGGCAGTGTCATTAAATTGTGGCAATGTGCTGTCATTCTATATCGGGGTGTGTGTCTAGAGCAGAGCAGGGGGTGGAGGCGGGCGAGAGAGGAGTGAGAAATGCTGGCTGTTGGCACTGGCTCAGAGTAATCTCTGGAGTGTCGCCCTCTGAAACCAGCAGGTGCTGGTAAGTGATAAAAAACTCAACCAGGAAATTGCTTAGCCAGGGTAAAAGTATATCTACTCCAAAAAAGAGTGGCTTCAATTCAATTACACTTTTCCTAATCTATTCAGCCTTCACTTCAAAGGAACTCGGATATTACCCAGGATCTCTCATCTCCCTCTTCTATATCGCACAGGGTGATTTTGTTTCTCTGTCTCTCCCTCACTACTTGTTTTTCAGTCAGGGGTACCCAAGAGGAAGGCCAGAAGCCAGAACATGGACATGTCTCTACACAAAGTGTGTAGAGAAATTGTGATTATAGCAAGCAAAGAGAAAGGAACAGATTCAACTTCATGCTTTGCCACTGTGTATGGCAGGGGAAGCCCCTCTCTATGCACTACAATCTGCCTGGGGTCATTTTATCTGGCTGGTTAAAAGGGTACAGACTATCTCATCAGCAGAGGCTAGCTGGAAGAAATTGCTGTCTGGAAACCCAGGAATGGTAAAGCCAGGGAAGGGTAAGAGCTTTTTGCTTTAGCTAACAAAATACAGAGAAGAACAAAGGGAGATAAACTGCCCAGTAACAGACAAATATATTGGCTGGAAAAGAGAAGATTGAGGCCAGTACAGTGGGCAAAATTCTAGATGAAGAAGAGTAGGGTGAGAAGCTGACGTGCATCTGGGATGAAGAATGCTACGCTGCTGAAGGGAGCTGAATATTGTAAATATGTCCCATCCCAGAGGAGGATCAGGCCCTCAAGGGACAAGGAAAAACAGGTACTGCTTCAAAACCTTGTCTGATCCTTGGTAGTTCAGGCACTAGGTGTGGTACAGCTTCAAGCCCCCTGAGTTGCAAAGGTACCTGGCAAGGGGACAGGGGCTTTGTACTGACAGCACTGACATCCAGACATTGTGCCCATGAGGGTTTCCCCTGTTCCAGCTGTTTATTCCAGCTGTCTGCAGTGTAAGCACGCTATAACACAGCAACACACAATCAGAAATGTGGATGTTTTCAATACAAAAGGGCTGCCATGTGTCCTGAGCAGTACTGCAACTCCTGGCAAACATCTGATCAAGCTTCTGAGAGCAGAACAAAGGCGACCTAGCCTCCACCAAGGAAAATGGCTGGTAATTCAGCTACAGCTGACGCTAAGAAACATTTAACAATGCATCAATTAAAGTGTATTTTCCAACATGACTCGCTCCCTTGGAGCAGTCAGTCTCTGTATCTCTGCTTTGATATTACTTGTTAAAAGTATTTAGAGGCAAAACCATCCCTGGGTATTACTGCCTTTCTTGTTTCCTCAATGACCATTCTGTACTGCTCATTTTCACCTAACTGCACTGGCACTCTGCTCCCCTCGCTGTTCCAGTCCACACGACTGTGCAAACGTGTTGGTGAACAGATCGCTGAATACATCTTATTCAGAAAAATACACTTATTTTTCATTAAAGTGGGATCAGTTCCCCAGTCAAGCCCACAGCTGGTACAATGGAATTTGTCATGTGCTACAATACAGGAGCTGGAGCAGCCACCCAGGATGGTGGTGTGGAGGTGATAGTGATACAGCCACAATACACAGTGGTCTTACCAATAATGCAGCCCTCCTCCCTGTGTCCTGTCAAAGAGGTGTGCTGGAGGGGGCTCCACGACAGCCAAGGTAATTGAAGTCCTGGAAGAGATGTTTCTGTGCTGCCATCCCTCCCTGCTGATGTATTCCTCTTGTTGGGGTCTCTGCTCAGCCATTTCAGCTTGCTACATCAGTTTGCTTTTTCTGTCTGGTTAGTGCTGCGAGCCAGCTCAGCGCAGAGACGTGCAAGAAGAGAGGCAGAAATGTGCAGCTGAGGATGGGGTGGGAGAGTGGGATCATGGCAGTGGTTAGATCAGATCTTGTGCCACCACACCGTAGTTTGAGCCCTTCCTTGAACAGAAGGTGATGTTCTTCACACAGCCTTAGAAATTTCAGCCATCCCTTGAAAGAACTCAGTCTCAGATTTCTTCCTGGTTATGTCTCTATCAGAGAAACACCAGGCTCGCTCTCAATATTTTGAAATATCTGGGCCCAGACACAATCCTAATGTATGTCTTGGTTTTCTCAGAAATCTGTCCCTTTCTCTTTGCTTATCTATTTTCAGCCACTTGCCAGTTAATGCGCCAGGAACGGATGAGTCAAGACAGCATGTTAATGCTTTGGAAAGCCGTCGCACAAGCTCACTTTGCCACCGACAAAAGACACCCCTAGGAACTCAGAACCCACCTGCTCCGCATTTGACACCACGTTTCACATTTGTCATGGCTGTAGCTTTGGCAATGCCCATTGTGTAGCAAAGTGACCCCTCTGCTTAGAGATAGAAGTGACTCCAAGCATGAAACCTAAGCCCTGACATGTCCTGGTGGAGTCAAACGCTGGGACAGCACTGTGAGACCACAGCCCCAGGGCTCCCCACAGCTTTGACACTCATGATGTCCACAGGAGCCCGAGGTTTTACATTCACTAGAAGGATGTGAAGTGCAAAGGCAGAAAAGGGCACTGTTTCTCTGGCCTTCTGTGCACAAGTGGGGCTTAACTCTCTCTCTGGAGCAGCACATTTGGGTTCCCCGGTGCCTACAAAGTGCCCCAGCAACTGTGACTCCAGTGAAGCTCTCTCGATTTATACCCTCTGAGAATCTGGGCAATGACAATGGTGAATACATACACACAGGAAACAGGGCGTATTTCAGAGTCACTCCTTACCATTTCAATGCCCAGCCAGTGATCTTCTCATAGTGTACTCCCAGCCCACTTTCCTTAGGAAAAAAGATACACGCAATCATGTTATGCATGTCTCCGTCTATGACTTTTATTACCACGTCACCAAACAACATGTAAACCTATCTACCTCAAACAAATCCCAGAACTACTTCAAAGCTTGCATCAAAACAGTAGATGGGGTAGAGGGACAGGTCTCATGCTGGTGTCACTCAGCAAAGTGAGCTTTGCACTTCTGAGACACCGTAAAACCCATAAGAAGGGACAGGCACGGATACATCTGCAACTCTTTTTCCAAGGTACCATTCTCAACCATCCAACACAAATGTGTCAGAAACAACAGTTCACAGGGTTAGTTTTTCAGGCTGAATGTTAGTTATAACTCTTTTTGACAAATTAGTGGTGGGTTTGATTCACAGTAGTTCTGCCCCACACAGAAAGAGTGAAGATCTACAGAAGGCTGCATAAACACTAATTCTGTTTATTTTATTTGCATGTGATCAAGACTAAGTCCCTGTTCCAAAAAGCACTATAATTTAAGACTTCCTGTGAACACACACTCAGTCCTCAGATATTAGTGCAGCTAAGCAGGTGAATCACAACAGCATCAAGCCTTTTAAAGCATTTTCAAAGCACTTCCTATTGCTGTCAAAGGTTAGGCAGAAACAGAGATTTGTGCCCAGAAGCATCTGAAAAAGGCCACAGAAATAGCAGGTTTTTTTCAAAAAGTGGCTGCTGTATTCTCTGCATATTTGTCAACAGCAGGATCTTAACATCTTCTGCTAAGAACAACTTCACACTATGTCCTAACCCCATATTGTGAACAGGAGTAGTACTGGTCTACCCAGAAGCTGCCAACAATTCCAGCACTATCACATACCCTACATCTCCATTAACAAGAAGTGTGGGGCTTGAATATGGATGGGCACAGTGGCACCCATACTACCTGGAGGATCCCTGCTGAAATGTGAGTAAATCCACTTCTCACCTCCATTTTCTTTCCCAAGCAGCCATTTGACTCTTTCTGAAGTTGCAACAAACTGGGCAGCTTTTTTGTTGGTAGCAGGAACACTAGAGAGAGAATCTAGAGCTCTGGATAAACTGAAGCCCTACATTAAAAGAACAGTAAACACAGCCATAAGGCGTGACAGTCATTGCCTTCAACAGCTTCTGGTCTGAAAGAAGAATGTGTTTGTATTTATGTGGGTAAACAAATAGTTCCTCCATGTGTCATCTTCTTCTTCCTCATGAGATCCGGCAGTTCCAGGACATCAAGTTTATCACAGATTAAAATGAAGGATCAGCTAGAGTGGCTCCTTGATAAAATACCTGCAGCTGATCTCTGCCTAAGGGTAGCAGGTTTAAAATAAGGGATCAGATGGCTTATGATGAGTCACTGCAAGATCCAAGTTGGAGCTTCGGGGTATTTAAAAAGAAGTTGAACTTAACTTTTCTATTAGTAGGTTACTACCTGTCTCTGCAGATCTGAGCTGCACACGCTACTTCTGAAACACATCAGCTGCACAGAAGAGAAAAAGAAAAACATGTGCACTGGCTCCCCATATCATGCAGGTCACAAAGGGTCAATTTTGCCTTTAAATTACTGTGTTCTGCTTACAAAACACATGGTATGCAATCTGATTTCCGCACGGACAAGCCATCAGGATTGCTGTAAGATGTCTCTTTATCTTAAAAAGGCCCCTATATTAATTCTTCTCCCTCATACTCACACCTGGCATATGCTGTCAGGAATAAGATATGGTTAAAGCAAGTAATTTTTGTTTTATCTTTGACAAGTTTTTAAAGGTTCCTGAAAACCACAGGATCATGTTGATAGAAGAGGCCCAGGCAGAGAGCACACGTGCAGTTATGAGGGCAGTGAAGAACAGCTGGGGGTTGGATGGCAGGTGGTAACCTTTACAACTGACTTTGTTGGAGCCAGAAAAGCCACTGCCTGTATTGTTCTGACTGCAGCTTCGGTGGCTCACTCGGAGCAGCAGCACACGCCAGTGTCTGGGTGTCAAGCTGGGAAACAGTAATATGACAATGGCTGCGTTAATTGTCTGACTTGTTGAAGTCCAGAACTCTTAGTCACAATCCTCACCCACCTAAGCTCCGC